AAAAAAGATCAAATAAAAATGACTTGCTTTTCAAAATGTGTACTTTTTAGAACTTAATTGAACTATCTTAATTGTACTTAATTTTGAAGGTTTTTTTTTTTTTATAAGTAATAGGTAGCAGACTGATAACAATAGTCTTTCTGTTTTGCTTATGTTCTGGTTTGTACTGATTCTGTCATATTGTTTGCTGGAATTTAGTACAAATTATATGGCATCACTTCATTTGTATCAAAATTTGGTCTTGTAGGGGAGAGTTAGTAAAATATTTTGAATTTTGGAAAATTTACTTTTGTAGAAATTCTTTACAAGAAAAATACATTTTTTTTGGACCTGGAAACCATTCATACCATAATGAAATTATACTAGCTCTATTTGGTGGTAGAAAACAATTGTTAAATCATTGCTTTCATTATCATATTATAATACGAAAACCTACATCCTAGCTTATTCTTATGCATCTTCATGCTTTTTAAGTGACCTTTAAAACAGTTTGATTCTATATTATTGTATCATTGCTATTTGAAATTTGTATTTGGTTTATAGTCATGGACTTTTTTTTTGGTAATCTAGATAGTCATTAGCCTCTTAAAAAGAAAACTTATTATAACTCTTCTTTTGTTTACTGCATATAAATATTATCCTCTTACATTTTTTAAAAATTGTTTTTCTTGCCTATAATTGAAACAGTGGAATCTGCAGGAAAATGTGAAAGGAGAAAATTGTGTTGGTAAAGCAGAAGAGTGGGAGTACTAAACTGCACTGAGCACCTACTAAGTTGTTTTGAAGGAAAGTTTGGTCCCTAATTTTCCACTGATAGGAGATGGGAAGGCCTTCTATTCAGAGGGTATTGGGAGGTTCCTCAGCCCTGCCTCTGCCCTCACTATTTGTTAAAGCATGTGATTCCCCAATTATTTGGCCGTGTAAGAGTCATGCCACAGAAATACCTGCCAGAGAGAACAATTTCAAACCTACTTCTGTCCAAACTATCTAAAGTTCAGCTTGGTTGGAAACTATACTTACTGATTATCTGAATAACATACTGTTCACTCATTCATTTCTATTAGAGCTCCTTACTGGGGTGCCACCAGTAGGTTACCAATATGCTGAGATACTGCTTCCCTCATAGTTTGTGGTGAGCTGTGAGCAGCTTCCTTTGTTTTCTGAAGCTTGCTATACAAAAATCGTTACATATGTGTGTTTCACATAGACAAAAACACTGATCATTGTGTTCCAAAGCCTGGATACCTGTGTCATAATATCCTGGGGTGGTTATGATGTATGAAGATTTTCTATCCCAGACACATGAGATGCTATAAGATTGTATTATCCAGGGGTAGGTGGGGTGATGTGACTTAGGTATCCTAATTTTTGATAAGCTCCAAAATTGAATGCTGGCATTCTCAAGTTTGAGAATTATTTTTGTTGATCTTATAGAATGGAAAGTTAACAAGAGCAGTTTTGGATATGCTCTGTTTAAGATAGAAATGTCTAGTATACCGAATAGAGGTAGAGATTTGGGGATGAACAATATGGTGCTTATGTTTGGAGATCTGAGAACAGGTGAAAATGCACAGGGAGAGAAGTTGAAATAAGAAGGGAGGAGGTATAGGACTGTAACCTGGAGAATAAGAGGATCAACGGGGGAAGTGTGAGAAGAGTAATAGATTCTGAAAAGAGCAGGCAGAGAGGCAGGAAAACTAATTAGGCTGGTACCTGCGAAGCAAGGTTTAGTGACATGAGGACTGAAAAGGTTTTTTTTTTTTTAATTCTTCTTCCCCTCCTCCTCCTCCTCCTCCTCCTTCTTCTTCTTCTTCTTCCTTCTTCTTCTTTCTTCCTCCTTCTTTCTTCTTTCTTCTTCTTCTTTTTTTTTTTTTAAATAAGACAGAGTCTCACTCTGTGGCCCAGGCTGGAGTGCAGTGGCGCAATCTTGGCTCACTGCAACCTCCACCTCCCTGGTTCAAGCAATTCTCCTGCCTTAGCCTCCCAAGTAGCTAGGATCACAGGTGCCTGCCACCATGCCCAGCTAATTTTTGTATTTTTGGTAGAGACAAGGTTTTGCCATGCTGTCCAGTCTGGTCTTGAACTCCTGACCTCAGGTGATCCATGTGCCTTGGCCTCCCAAAGTGCTGGGATTACAGGCATGAGCCACTGCACCTGGCTTTTTAAAAAAAATTTATTATTTTTTAAATTGAGACAGAGTCTTGCTCTGCTGCCTAGGATGGAGTGCACTGGCGTGATCATGGCTCACTGCAGCCTCAACCTCTCAGGTGTGCCCCACCACGCCTGGCTAATTTTTATCTATTTTCTTTTTTTGTAGAGACAGTGTCTCCTTGTGTTGCCCAGGCTGGTCTTGAACTTCCTGGGCTCAAGTGATCCTCCTGCCTTGGCCTTCCAAAGTGCTGGGATTATAGGCATGAGCCACTGAGCCTGGCCTAAAAGTTTTCATGCTCTTTAGCAGCAAGTGGTTCATTAGTGTCTGTGACAAGAATGGATGCGTGGGCACAATGGTAATGAAATCTAGGTTTTCAGTGTATGAATGGGAAGTGAGTGGGAGGTGGGGAGACTATTTATGGCTCTTTAAAGAAACTTAGCTGTGAATGGAAGAAGGGAGGAAGATGATTTGGAGGCCATGAAGGGTTGAGGGAAGTGGGAAAAATTCAATGTAGGATAGAGGCTTTCATTGATGGAGCAGGAACCCAGAGAGGACAGTCAGAGATGAGATCAGGTGTGCAGATGGAAGGCTAATCTTAAACAGATGTGGAAACTTTTTTCCACAGTGACAGAGGAAAGAAGGTAAGAATCTTTACAGATGTAGTGAAATTTGCAGGTCAAGTTGGGAAGTTGAAACAGTAATGTCAGTTGACCTCTACTTTTCTTTTAGGTGATCAGACAGTGAGAGAAGAGTTGCAGGGTTCCTGAAATTACTTTAGAAGAAGCCGAGTAAAACACAGAAAGATTCCTTGTTAATCTTGATAGTACAATTGAAATTGAACACGCCATGCATTTAAAGTGGTACTTACTTTCCTAATTCTCTCAACTCAAGATTCAGACTCTTGAGAGAGATAGTGAGAATGAGGGGGAGAGAGAGGATCTGAATAATACAATTTAGATTATATGCCAACCTGTGGCCTAGAGGGAAAGTTTATTACTAGAATTGGAGTAGAAAGCAAATGAGACTAATGGCTTTTCATTTAATGCCTGCATGTTCATTAATTCCTGGGGAGTCCCATATTTAATTGTAGCTTGAAATCTGTGAGAGTCAGACTTATCTGAGATCTGGTTACTATAATAGTCCTGCAAACTATTTTAATAATCATACATATACATTTTATTTCAGTGGGTTAGCTTGTTACCTTGTGGACTTGGCCATCCTGACCTCCTCTTATCCCTGAAGATAGGGCTATATTGACCTATCCATGAGTCTTGGTTGTTTAGTGAGTAAAAGTGGGGATTTAGGGCAGACAGGATACATGGGAAGCTTAGTGGGGAATATTTTAGGAAGGTTTAAAGGTTTAAGTCTTCCCCAACCCTTCTGGACTCCATTATAACAGTATAATTCCATTCTTCCTGATCAGTGCCTTTACTTTTACTTAAGAAGGCTGGAGAGATTTGTCAAATCATTTGTTATTGTAATTTAAAACTTAAAGAATCAGTCTCTGAATTAGCTTCTCAGTGGTTAAGCCCCACTGAGTCGTAAGTGGTGAGAAATGTTTCTGCAGAGTACCAAAGACCCTGAGTTTATTCTTTACCCTTAGATGACAATTTTGAGATTTAAACCTATCATTCTTTTATTTTAAATTATCCAGTGCCCTTCGATAAAGCTATCTTACTTGTGGTTTGGTGTTCCTCCTTGTTCAGTTGGCCTATGGCAGCAGCTTTCCGGTCTACTAGAGTTTCACCTGCAGTGGGCACAGATGACTCTCAGATGACTAGAGATGATAACTTGATTAATTGTTCTGTTACAATGTGCAGTGCTGCTTAACCCCACCTAGAACATGAATGAGAGTGTTCTGTGAAAGGGCATTTATTTAAAGTGGCCCCCAAATACTGAAGGAGCTGAGAACCAAAGATTGAGGCAGACAAATCCAGTTTGTCAGTATACGGTGATTTATTAGGTGAACTTATGGGCAGAAATGTCCTGGGCAGTTGCAAGACAGGTAGCTCTCCACACCACAACCCCCAGACCTAGGGCTTGTATCTTGGGGAATAAAAGTATACATGCTCTGGAAAGAATGTGTAGGTGGCTATGAGTGTCACAGCCTATGATATATACAGCAATATCAAGTGCTGTTTTGGAGGAAAGGCAAAACTTAATGAATAGGTGTTTCTGCATAAAGAGTAATATATTAACTAGAGATCTTGGAGGAGTTCTTTGACTCGAGTTTAGTCAGGAGTCACATGGCAGATTAGCATTTAAAATAAAGTCACTCTTATCCCCACAAGGAATCTTACTGTTTTGTACCCCATTTCAGGTCAAGAACCAATTCCCATACTTTGGAGGCCAAGGCAGGTAGATGGCTTGAGTCCAGAAGTTTGAGACCAGCCCGGATAACATGTCGAAACCACATCCCTACAAAAAGTACAAAAATTAGCTGGGCATGGTGGCACATGCCTGTATTCCCAGCTACTCAGGAGGCTGAGGTGGGAGGATCAATTGAGCCTGGGAGGTTGAGGCTGCAACGAGCTGTGATTGCATCACAGTACTCAAGCCTGGGCAACAGAGTGAGACCCTATCTCAAAGGAAAAAAAAAAAAAAGAACCAATTCCAAATATGCTTGCATGTTTTCATGCCTGCAGTTTATTTTTTAGTGCTCATTTCTATATCAGTTATCTTTTTTTTTTGGCCACAAGTGGCAGGAAACTGATAAATTTAAGTACAGAAGGTACTGAAATGAATGTAAGATAGCTTTCCCAAATGCAGGCAGAGTTGAACTGAACAAGCCTTTAGTGGGGACAGGAATGGGCATGACTCTAGAGACCTTGTGAGTCTCCAGTATTGAAGTTCCCAAGATTATACCTCTCTCATAGGGTTATTATGAGGATTTTTTTTTTCTTGAGATGGAGTCTCGCTCTGTCACCCAGGCTGGAGTACAGTGGCACTATCTCGGCTCACTGCAGCCTCCACCTCC